TATATATATATATAAGAAACAGTACTTTTTATTCTATTCAGTTTGGCTCTGGAACTATTAGCAAGCAACCTGAGGCAGAGAGGGGAAAGAAAACTAAGTCAAGAAATGGAGAATGAGACAAATCAGATTCTGAAAGTATCATCTGAGCTATAAATTCAAGCATCTTATCTGAAAATAGTCATTATAACTTAATAATTATGTGTCTATAATGGACCAAGGACTATTTTAAGCACTTTCCATCTCTATAACAATGTTATGAAGATGATACTCCTCTCCATACTCCTAAATTTCAGCCCAAAAAGAAAATTAGAGAATTTGTACACCTCGAACATTTATTATAAAGCTACGATAATCAAGACAGTAAGGCTGACACCACATAGTTAAAAACATAGACCAATAGAATAGAATCTGGAATCCAGAAAGAGACCTTCACACATATGGCTAATTGGCCATGAATAAAGATACATAAGCGATTCAACAGAAAAGATAATCATTTCAACAAATGGTGCTGAAACAACTGGATATCTAAAAGAAATAAAATAAACTTTGATTCATATGTCATACTATATATAAAAATTAACTCAAAATAAATGATAGTCCTAAATGTAACAGCTAAAACTTTAAAAACTTCTAGCACAAAAGAGTAATACCTTAGTGACCTTGGGTTTGGCAAAGATTTCTCAGATAGGACATAAAAAGCACAAATGATAAAGGAAAAAATTAATAAATCTGTCTTCGTCAAAATTAAAATCTCTTTCAAAAACACTACTAAAAGAATGAAAACACAGGGCCAACAGCTGGCATGCTGATTAGGATACTGGACTCCCACTTGGCCCACCACAGTTTGAGTCCCAGATCTGGTGCCTTGCTTTCTCACTCCCTGCACCCCTGTGTCTCTCTCTGGTCAAATTTTTTAAAATAATAATAATGATAAGTAAAACTAAATAAATAATTATTTAAAAAAGAATAAAAGTACAAGCCATACACTGGGAGAACATACGTATATATACCATATCTAATAAAGATCTATATTCATATTATATAAACAACTCTTATAAGAATAACAAGAGGGACCAGCAGATGGCGTAATGGCTATGTCGCTGGACTCCCTCCATATAGTCAACCATGGGTCAAGTCCCAGACCTGGTAGCTTAAACTCATGCCGGGCACATGTGTTTGCATGCCCAAGATCCCGAGAGGAGAATGGAGGAGAAGGGATTGCAGCATGGCCATCGACCCTGGCGGGGGTGGTGATTTCTCACTTTCTATCTCTCTGACGCTCTCTTTCAGGTGAACACACGTGCCCTATAGCAAAAACCTCTTGCCCCCACCAAAAATAAATAAATAAATAGAATAGAATAGAATAGAATAGAATAGAATAGAATAGAATAGAATAGAATAGTCTCTTTCAGCACACGTGCCCTATAGCAAAAACCTCTTGCCCCCACCAAAAATAAATAAATAAATAGAATAGAATAGAATAGAATAGAATAGAATAGAATAGAATAGAATAATAAGAAATCAGGGCCAGCAGGTAGCGTGGTAGCTGGTGCGCTGGACTACCACATGGCAAACTACAGTTTGAGATCTAGAACCTGATGGCTGGCTTTCTTACTTTCTGTCTCTTCTAGTGAGGCATGTGCCATGTACAAGTTAAAGAATAATGATAATAATAATAATAAATTAAAATAAATAATTCTTAAAAAAAAAGAAAAGTAGTAAGAAAGCAAGGAGTAGGACCAGCAGGTGGCATAGTGGCTGATGAACTGGACTCCCACATGGCTGACTATGATTCAAGTCCAAGACCTGGTGGCTTGAAACTCAAGTCAGGTGCATGTGCATGCATGCCCAATATTCCCAGGGAAAAAGGGATTGTGGTGTAGCCATCCCCCCAAGGAGTAATTTTTTACTTTCTCTCTGTGTGTCTTTCTCTGTCTCCAGCAGGCACAAACACCCCATAGCAAAAATCTCTCTAAAAAAAAAAAAAAAGAATGAAAGGAGCTCAGTATAACAATGAACAAAAGATTTGAACAGACACTTCATCCAATAGGTGGGATATTAATTTCATAATATGCATATTATGAAAAAATTATGTAAAGATTTCAAAATTTTTTGCACCAAAATAAGCACATACTTTATTTTCCTTCTTTCTTTCTTTCTTTCTTTTTTTTTTTTATTGCCAGTGAGTTATGTGTTTGCCAGAGAGACACCTCACAGTGGGGTATAGTCACAATGCAATCCTTTTTCTTCCACCTCTCCAACCTGTCAGGATTCTAGGCATGCATGCACAGGTGCCCAAAGCGGCCTTTATTTTTTTAGAGAGAGAGATCTTTGCTATAGGACACAGGCACTTGCCAGAGAGACAGAGAAACAGAAAGGGAGAAATCCCCCCCAAGACAGGGTAGCCACAACAGAAAGGGAGAAATCACCCCCAAGACAGGGTAGCCACATTGCAATCTTTTCTCTTCCATTTTCCTCTCAGGATCTTAGGCATGTACGCACAGTGTGTGAATTTTAAGCCACTGGGTCCAGGACTCGAACCGCAGCAGACTACATAGGAGTCCAGCAACATAACCATTACACTATGTGCTGGTCCTGCCCAATGTGTTTTTTTCTTTTTGAGAGTTTTTTTTTAGCTATAGGGCATGTGTGCTCGCCAAACAGACAGAGCGAAAGAGAGAGACAGAAAGCGAGAAATCACCGCCTGGGGGGATGGCCACGCTGCAATCCCTTCTCCTCTTGGGATCTTGGGCATGCACACACATGCGCCCAGTGTGAGTTTTAAGCCACTGGGTCCTGGATGCAAACCGTGGTCGACTACATGGGAGTCCAGCGACATAGCCTTTACGCTAACTGCTGGTCCCCCAATGTGGTTTTCAAGTCACCAAGGCCAGGACGGGAACCACAGTTGGTCATATGGAGTCTGGCTTTCTATGTATAGCACTTAACCACTGCCCTACAGGGTTAACCCATTATTTTCATTTTTCCATGAACCTTTTTCTTTTTTAAAAAATCTGCCAGAGGGTGCATATGTTCACTGGAGAGAGACAGAGAGATAGAAAGTGAGAAAGTATATCCCCCAAGGGGAATGGTCGCATCACAATTCCTTCGCCTTCATTTCTCCCCTTTTTAGGGGATTTTGGGCACATACACATCCAGCATTCTCAAGCCGATGGGTCCAGGATTCGAACCACACAATTGGCTATGTGGGATCCAGTCACCTTAACCACCACACCACATGCTGGCCCATTCCATAAACTATTTTTTTTTGGAGAGGTTTTTCGCTATAGGGCGCGTGCACTCGCCAGACAGACAGAGAGAGACAGAGAGACAGAAAGTGAGAAATCACCTCCCAGCAGGGATGGCCACACCGCAATCCCTTCTCCTCTGTTCTCCTCTCAGGATCTTGGGCACACATGCACACACGCCCAGCGTGAGTTTTAAGCCACTAGATCTGGGATGCGAACCACAGTCAACTACATGGGAGTCCAGCGACACAGCCATTACACTAACTGCTGGTCCCCCATTCCATAAACTTTTGAAAGTATCCATGTAAATGTGGTGACAAACAAGCAAATGAAAAGATGCTTGGTATCATTAGCAGATAGGGAAATGCAAATTAAAAGCACATAATATCACTACTTAACTATCTGAACAGCTGAAGTTAAAAGAAGAACCTAACAACCTTCGGTAAGAACATACACAGCAATATAGTATTTACTAGTATTTAGTTCATAAGCTAAATTTCCACATATGTGGCTCTAATAAAATATAATGAATCTTCAAAAAGTTCATCGAAAATGTGTATTATTAAAAAAAACTATGCATGGGTTTCAGTTTGTCTGCACCAAAACAGACTTGTACTTTTATTTCATTTTTCCACAATCTTCTTGAAGCCTCCTAGTGTTTTATCTGATGCAGATTAGATTAGCAGTACTATAAACTCTTGCACTGAAAGTTACTTCTATTGGTCCTGAATTTGAGTTCACATGCACTATGACAAAAACCTTTAAAAAAAAAAAAGATCATCTTTACTCACTGTGTTTTTGGATGGTTCCCAGGCAGCATCCACCTTTCCCACATCTTGCATATCTTGGAGTTGACGGAGCTGAGACAAAGTGTGATGCCTCAGAGCTTCATGCAAAGGAGTATCACCATCCTTATCTTGAATATCTAGCTTGGCACCTGCTCGGACCAAAAGCTAAAAGAGAAAGACATGTCATTTTGGTAAAGTATCCACACCCACAGGAAACTACAACATATCTAAAGGAACAGTGAAAGAGCCCCGGATCTGCTGAAGGAGTGGCCACTACAGCTGCTGGTTTTTATATCTTTGCTTTCTACTGTTCCTGTGGCTCCTTACAAAGAATATATTCTGGTTATTTAAATATATTGAATTCAAGAAATAAAAATCAATCTGTTGCTTGATTCTCTAAGATGATAATAACTGGGAGAAATTTAGGACTTTTTTCCTGATTTTCACTTTAGATGTGAGTTGAGATATTTTAAATACATTCACCAAGATCAAATCATTAACGTCCAAAATTCTTCAGTGATTTAAACAAACAAAAGTTGTTATTGTTTCCATTCTCTCTGGCTAATTTGCTCCAAATGGATGGCCACGAGGAAAATTCAGGTAACATAAGACACAAGTGAAAATTTTTAGCATGAGAAATTTCAAATAAAGATAAATATGAACAAGGTCTGTAAACTATAATCTCTTAGATAAAATACACAAATGGCCTATTACAATAGACAACTTAAACAGTAAATGTACATTTAAGACTTTGCTTACAGAACTTTAACAATTTTCCTAATACTTTCTACAAATACTATCTATCAGCTATAGAAAAATACCATCTATAGAAACCAATCTCAATTATATGGTCTTCCCTTGTCTTGGCAAATTATATTTTTCTTTCCTTTGTTTCAAAAATATTACATAAAATGTCACTCTAGGATACTATATCTCAAATTTGAACATTAACCAAAACTATCAGGAGGGTTTGTTAAACCAAATGTTGGGGGTTTCCAACTTCTAAAGCTTGACTCAGTTGGTCTGAAATAGGGCCACAGTTTACCTCTTCTACCACAATCCCAGGTGATGCTGTTACTATCACTGGCTCAGCCTCTAAACTTTAAGAATCAAAGCTCTACAAAATATTTCAACAAAATTTTTTTTTCAAATATTTTGTTCAGAATCACCAGATTACTAAAATAAAATAATAAGTTTAGCTTTTCTGGGAATCTGCAAGAGGAAATAAATGTTTAGTCAAAGTTTTAATGTGCAGTTTACTCTCAATTATATAAATGAAGATGAAATGTGTTATATAAATGAAGATGAAATGTGTACTATTCAAAACTAATTTACACGTGACTATGAAATTTTCCCATTTAATTTTTCTAGAAATCACCAATCTGGCAACAAAATTATAAACTCACTGAATATCAGAATTTTGGAATTTTCACTATTAGAAATTAACTCTTTACCCAGCTAATGTAAAATATTCTAAAACTGTACATCTTACAACTAACTACATCTTTTTTAGAACTTTTAACACTATATTATTTCAATTTTCAAGAAGTTCTAAAAATCTGTCTGGTTAAAACAGAATTGACTATTAAAAATAAAGCTGCAGGGCCATCAGGTGGCATGGTGGTTAAAGTGCTGACCATGGCTCAAGTCCTGGACCTGGCAACTTGCTTTCTCACTTTCTCTCTCTGGTGAGCATGTGTGCCCTGTAGCAAATTAAAAAATAATAATGATGATGATACATAAAGTTAAATAAATAATTCCAAAAAAAAGCCTGTTACCTTATTTTAAAAATAAATAAACCTGCAAAATAAATTAAATAAATTTTAAAAATAAGGCTGCTGCAAACACTCAGTCCAAGCTAAAACTGATGGTAATAAATACTTACCCTAACAATTTGGGTGTGCTGCCGTTCAACAGCAAGGTGTAGGGCAGTTTGTTGGTTCACATTCTGTATATCCAGGTTTGCATTACCCTGAAGAAAAAGAACACATGTTAAATGATTAAAATGTAACAACAGTAAAGAACAGTAAAATCATAACCATTTATAAAGAAGAGAAAACAGTGGACACTGCTAACTACTTTCTCCTTCATCTACTGTGACATTATTCCCATATGGTAACAGTTGGTGTTAACATAGGAGAAACCACTGGGGCAGTAAATTTTCCGAAAACAGCAAGTTTACAAAATTAATTTTATTTTAGTGATTCCATGTAAGAACAGTTAAAGGACAAAGTACAGTACAATGCTTGAACATGGTTTTATTTATTTTAATTGATTTCTTTTACATTCATTCACTGTACTTCATCACAGTATACAAAATGAGATTTCTCATCCAGAATACATTGTATATTGGCTTAATCAATAATACTACTGTACATATTATCATCAATAAATAATTTTTTCTTTCTTGTTTCTTATATATTTTGCATCTTTTCCCCTTGATTCCCTACTTCTCACCCTCTGCCATTTCCCACCCTCCTCCCACACTGTCTCTGGTATCTACAGTTGCTTTCCATCCTTTTTTTTTTCCCACATTTTATTGATGCACAAAAAAAATCTTAATCCAATACTTTCAAAAAAGCAAGTTCAGCTGATATATACATAGCTGTGAACACATGTCTGACTTCAGGCATAAAACTCAGTGAGTAAAATGAACATAACTATAAAATAGCACCTAACTGAGACTATATAGCTTACTTGTCATGAACTAGGTTTTTTTCATTTTAAGAAAAGCAGTTTTAGCATTAATAAATTAAAATCACAAAAGGTTAAGAGAAATTTGCTTAAGACTTAAAGCCAGGAAAAAGGTTAAGGTTCTATTCAAACAGTAGGTAGATAAACTATGAAGAGAAGACAAAAAAAAAAAAAAAAAAAAACCCTTAAATCTGGAAAACAAAGCATAGAAGAAAATCAGTCATGTTTTAATCAAAAGTTGTAAATTCTATTTCACCAGTTCAGTCTCATGTAATTAATCTCTCTTCTGCTGTGGCCCAATCTTTCCATTTAAATTCTGGAAGTTAACATTCAATTTTGGACTTGCCCCTATATTAAACTGGCCACTTTCTTGGTTGTTTTTTGTACTCTTATTTCTGTATGACTGTTAGTTTTCCTGGTATAGCACTCCCTTCAGCACTTCTTGGAGAGCTGGTCTGGTGCAGGTGAATTCTTTCAGGTTTTGTTTATCTGAGAATGTTTTTGCCTTTTTTTCCCATATGAAAAACAATCTTGCTGGGTATAGAATTCTTGGTTGAAATTGTTTTTCACTCAACATTTTGAATATATTCTTCCATTCTTTCCTTGCCTGCATTGTTTTCTATGAGAGGTCCACTGTTAGCATGATGGGGCATCCTTTGTAAGTAACTTGATGTTTCTCTTTTGCCAATTTCAGAATCTTGTCTTTGTGGTTTTGGTCAATTTGGCTATGATGTGCCTTGGAGAAGATATTCTTGGGTTGATTCTATATGGAGTCCTTTGTATTTCTTGCATCTGGATTTTTTAATGCCTCTCTAGGTTTGGAAAGTTTTCTTCCAGGATTTCATGGAAAAGGTTATCAATGCCCTTATTAGTTTCTTCACCTTCTGGGATACCAATTATCTGGATGTTTGGACGTTTAATGGTACCTAATATTTCTCATATGTTATTTTCATCTGTTGTGTTATTTTCTCACTGTTTTTGGTGAATTTTTCTAGGTCAGAGGTTCTGTCTTCTACATCTAAGATTCAATCTTCTGCATGATCTAATGTGCTTTTAATACTTTCAAGGGAAGTTTTAATTTCCTGTATTACAGCCTTCACCTCTAACAGTTATGTTTGATTCTTTTTTATGGCAAGTATCGTCTCTTTGAACTTGTACAAGAACTTCTACACTTCCTGGAACTCATTGACTCTTTTCTCCCATATCTTCTGGAATTCACTGTCTCTCTTCTCTTGCATCTCTGTTAGCTTTGTCACTATGAATATTCTAAATTCTTTATCTGACATTTCCATGAGTTTCATTGTACAGTTATTCTTTTCCTTTGGGGGAAAGACATTTTCTTGGTTTTTCAAATTTCTTGTTCCTGTGTGGTGGGTTCCAGTCATCTGATGAATTATACATTTCTTCCCTAATTTCAGTCTCGTGGCTGTTAGGGTCTGGAGGGTGAAGTCTAAGTAGAAACTCTTTGGTTGTCTTAGCCCCTGAAAGGGATTGCTCACAGCTCAAATGCAGATGACTTCTCAAAGGGCCTGTGCTTTTCCTCTCCTATCAGTCTGGTGGATCTTAGAGTCTGGAGGGTGAAGTCTGAGCAGAAACCCTTCAGTTGTCTTAGCCCCTGAATGGGATTGCTCACAGCTCAAACGCTAAACATGGTTCTCTTTCAATCATGGTTCTCTTTCAATCTCGATTATAGAACAATGGACATAATCAACTCCTTTAAATTTAACTATTTCCTAAAAAGTTGTATTAATACATTTTCATGTTGGATTTAGCGCTACTTTAATGACCTGGTAAGTTACTTCTTGCTGCATAATTGATCTCTTCCTTATTCAGTAAAAAGAAACTTTGCTTGAAGTGAGAAGAAGGTAAGGTCTAATTAGTACCTAAAAATTCTTACTAATGGGAGAGCAGAAAGTCTTAGCCAATATCCTATGACAGTCAAAGGACGATAGGAGAACACTTAATGCGTCAGGAAGTGGGAATGAGACTGAGGAGTAAAATAAACGAACTTGGCGTGAGGAGACCTAGGTCCAAGTCCTATTATTTACAAACTGTGAACCTAAGCGAGCATTATACCATGGCATGCCTATTTCCTCAATTCTCAAATGGTGACAGTATAACATTTCACAGAGTTACTGTGAGGATTAAAAATAACTGTAAAACTGCCTAGCATAATGTCTGGTATAAAAAAAAAAAAAAAAAAAAAAAAAAAAACACCTGAAATTGAGCGCTATCTCTCAAGACCAGCAGGTGGTGTAGTAGTTAAGGCACTGGAGTCTCAAGTAAACTGACCTTGATGGTTTGAGAGTCATGCTGAGCATGTGTGTGTGTTCCCAAAATCCAAAGAGGAAAATGGAGAAGGCCGTCTTGGGGGTGGAGGGGGTGATGGGTAAGCATTTCTCACTTTCTCTCTCACAGGAAGGCACACGCCCCATGGCAAAAACCTCTTTAAAAAGAAGCTATCTTTCTATCCTCTCTCTTTCTTGCATATGTACATCCAATATACCCTCTTGCAAAACAAACAAAAACGAGCAAAGGTTCAAAAGATAACTTTTTATCATTTTGTTTAGGTTTTAGAATTATTCATACCCTCTGGTTACAACTCTGCTGTCCACCTGTATGCTTGCTTGGGTATGAGGGAGAGCTGCAGATCCAGGAATGCTATGTAGTACTCTGGAAGGTGGTAGTTTCTGGTTTGTTTTTATTATTTATGTTTCTTTTTTCTTTTAAGAGAAATTTTGTTATAGGGCATGTACACTCACTGGAAAGACAGAAAGCAAGAAATCACCCCCAGGGTGGGAGTTAAGGGGTGGCCATACCACAGTCCCTTCTCCTCCATTCTCCTCTTGGGATTTTGGGCATGCATGTTTATGTACACCCGGAGTGAGTTTTAAGCTGCAGGGTCTGGGACTCGAATTGCAGTCAACTACATGGAAGTCCAGCAACGTAACCATTATGCCATCTGCTGGTTCCATGTTTTTTTGACTGTGGTTATGATATACCTAATCTCAGCTTCTTTTCTTATTTTTGCTCTCATATAAATGTGGAAAGTTCTGTGTGCTTCTCTGTCATTTGGATTTTGCCAACCAGTATTTATAGTTTGGGTGTATTACCGTTTATCCAGAAACAGTTGATGAACATGTGACTTGCTTCCAATGTGGTGCTATCATAAATAAAGCGGCAACAAACATTCAGTGCATGTATTTGTGTGGAAATATGTCTTCAGTTCCCTTAGGTACATACGTTAACAAGTGAGAAAGCTGGGTCATGTAGTGAATTCATATCTAAGCTTTGTAAGAAATCACCCAATTGTTTTTCATAGTAGCTGCTTTTAAAAAAACACAAGCAACATATCGCTCCACATCCTAATCTACACTTGGTTTTGTTGATCTTTTTAATTTCAGTCATTCCTGTGAGTGATTAATACTATCTCATTATGGTTGTAATTTCTATTTCCCTAGTGGCCAATATACATTCATTTGCTTATCTGGGAACTATATATCTCTTTTGGGAGAGTGGATGTTTAAATCTTTTTCCCATTTTTATACAGTTATCTGCCCTTTTATTAATAGGTTGCAAAAGTTCCTTATATATCACAAATACCAGTCCTTTGTCAAATTATGTTTTTAAATAGTTATTCCTGAGTGTAGCTTTCCTATTTGTTTTCTTAACAGTGTCCTGCAGAGCAGAAGTTTGACTTTCTTTTTAAATGATAAAGAGCACATGTATGTATGTGCAGAAGAGTTCAGGAAGCAAGCAAGAGACAAAGAGACATAAACAACCTTGACAGGATCTCATCACGCCATGTTCCCCTTTCCTAAGATTTCCAGCTCCTCAGGATCCTGGATGCCTCCATGAGCACCCAGCATGTTTTCAGGTCAATCCAAGATTGGAACCCACAGTGGGCCATATAACTTACAGCCTTGCAGGAAACTTGAGTTGCCAGTGGCTGGGCTCAGAAGTTCAACTTTTGCTAAGGTCTAATTTACTAGGTTTTCAAAATTTTATGTCCATGGCTTCCCCATAAAGGCTTTCGTGTACACCACAAGTCAAAAGATAAACTGCTATGTTTTCCTCTAAAGTTTTATGGTTTAAGCTTATATGTTTAGGTCAATGACCCATTTAATTTTTATATAAGGCATAAGGTAAAGGTCAAGACCTTTGTGTTTTTATTTTGTTTGTTGATTGTATAGATAACTACTTGTTCTGATACTATTTTGGGTGCCTTTTAAATCATTGGGATTTTTATAAGTAACTGACCACAATGAGTCTACAGTAAGTTCACGAAAATTCGTATTTTAGAAAAACCATGTGGATTTCTTTCTCTCTTTTTCTTCTACCTTTTCTCTTTTTTTTTTTTTTTTTTTTGGTACAGCCAAAGTATGTGTGCACTCACCAATGAGCAAGAGAAAGCACCCTGCAACTGGGCATGGTCATACTGCAATCCTTTTTCTTCCATTTCTGTATCCCATCAGGATTTTGGGCATGCACACAATGTGCCCAGTGTGTTTTTCAAACTGCAGGGGCCAGGACTGGAACTACAGTTGGATATATGGAATCCAGCTCCCTCTACACAGCACTTAATTGCTGCATTCTGAGGCTGGCTCTCTGCGTGGATTTAAAAAACTTTATGCACCAAAGTAAACTCACACTTCAATTACATTTTTTCCAAAAACATTTTGAATTCCCATTATATGTGATTTTAGTTCTGCATTTTCTATTCTTTTGAGCTACATGATCAGCTATGTAGAACATAATAAAGAATCCATAAAGAAATGACCATGACTAATAAGTAAGAGTAAACAAGGTTATAGGACAGATGGACAATACACAAAAAGTAACTGCATATATACTAGCAATAAACAATTGGAAATTGAAATGTAAAAGTATATAATTTACTGGGACCAGCAGATGGCGCAATGGTTACATTGGGACTCCCCCACAATAGCTGACTGCAGTTTGAGTTCTGGATTTGGTGGCTTAAAACACACTGGGCGTGTGTGTGTGTGTGTGTGTGTGCGCGTGTGTGTGTGTGTGTGCTCGCGTGCAAGGACACGTGCGCTCAAAATCCCAAGAGGAGAATAGAGGAGAAAGGACTGCAGCGTGGCCACCCTTCTGGGGGGGAGGGGGAGGAAGGGGTGGTGGAGGGGTGTGTTCTCTCTTATTAAAAAAAAGAACTTTAGCTTTTGGCTGGAACCGCCATCTTCCAGCAATGAACCAAAATGACGAACACAAATTAACCAAAATGACGAACACAACGGGAAAGAGGAGAGGCACCCGATATATGTTCTCTAGGCCTTTTAGAAAACATGGAGTTGTTCCTTTGGCAACATATATGCGAATCTACAAGAAAGGTGATATTGTAGACATTAAGGGAATGGGTACTGTTCAAAAAGGAATGCCCCACAAATGTTACCATGGCAAAACTGGAAGAGTCTACAATGTTACCCAGCATGCTGTTGACATTGTTGTGAACAAACAAGTTAAGGGCAAGATTCTTGCCGAGGGAATCAATGTGCGTATTGAGCATATTAAACATTCTAAGAGCAGAGATAGCTTCCTAAAACGTGTGAAGGAAAATGACCAGAAAAAGAAAGAAGCCAAAGAGAAAGGTACCTGGGTTCAACTAAAGCGCCAGCCTGCTCCACCCAGAGAAGCACACTTTGTGAGAACCAATGGAAAGGAGCCTGAGCTACTGGAACCTATTCCCTATGAATTCATGGCATGATGGGTGTTAAAAATAAACTAATCTGTGGTCTATTAAAAAAACAAATAAATAAATAAAAAGGACTTAACAACAGCATCCAAAAAATCTACTTAAAAATAAACCTAATATATGCAAGAGCACTCAAACTCCCATCAGATTTTTTAATAGAAATAAGCTGATTCTGGGCCAGCAGGTGGAGTGGTGGCAAAGGGCACTGGACTTGCATGCTGGCCAATCGTGGTTCAAGTCCCAAACCTAGTGACTTGCTTTCTCCCTCTCTCTCTCCCTCTCTCTGGTGAGTGCATGTGCCCTATGGCAAATTAAAAAACAATAATAGCAATAATAAATGTAATAATTCTTTAAAAAAGGAAGCTGATCCTAAAAATTACATGGAAATGCAAATTATCTAGAATATTACAGTAATTCTGAAAAAGAACAAAGTTGGAGGATTTAGCCTACCTGATTTCAATAACCAAGGCAGCTTGGCATTGGCATAAGGTCAATCATTTCAATTCGAAATAAAAACGGATTGTCTTAATTAACAAAGAGAGGAATTATTTTTATTGTAAAGGCTTAAAATGTTAAGAGGGGAAAAGGTACTTTAACTTTTGAACTACTTCTTTAGATTTCTATAGTTTCTAGAGTGTGTATCTTGCAATCTGGTTAATGTACTAATGGGTCATCCGTCAGAAAAGTCATGACATATTCTTTCTATATTTTTCTATGCAAAAATGCTTGACTTTTCTGACAACCCAATATTTACTAAATTTTCCTACTACTCTATCTTCTTAACTAAAGTTCCTTAAAGTCAGGAATTCTTTGGAAACTTCTGTGCATCTGTCTGACATATGCTTTACTGAGGCATTTTAAAACTTTGCTGGATCACGAAACTAGAAAAAATTAAACAAACAAATGAACAAAAATTCAGTCTCATAAAAATGTGATCTTGTTTCTGAAATGGATGAAATGATGAAAGGGACCCTGTGCTGCTTCCAGCCACAAATTCCAGGGATCCAGTAGTAGTTTTAACCCAAACCCCTCATCCTGGCAGCAGTCTGCAGTCTGATTCCAACTGGTCTCACCAGCTTAAATGTCAACATGAATGATTCTTGTTCTGTGGTTGACTAAGCTTCCAAAACAGTGGTAGCAATTCTGGAAAAGCCTTGTTAGTTGATGCCTGTTTCACTAGACCAGTCCAGGAAGACCATGCAGAAGGAAAACTAACAGATCCGCCTTCACACACATACTAACCCAGACATTTAAGGACCAATGTTAGACAGAAGACAATATGTATCATCATATTTTAACTTTCATCATCATAGGTTTTATGGTCCAAAATTGTTTTTAAAAAATCATTAAATAGTTTTTCCTACCTGATGGACCAATAGTTCAGCCACTTCCACATGATTATTAAGGGCAGCCAGATGTAAAGCAGTATAACCATCATCTTTCTTCTCATCCACAATCCATGGTCTTGGTAATTTAGACAATAAAACACGCATTGCACTGAAAGTCAAATTCACATTATTTTTATATTTACATAATTTGATTTTTTAAGAAAGTTATATTCAAAAGACTTATGAAATCAAATTAAAATATTCCTTTTTAAAGAAAATCATCCCATCATAGACAAAAAGATAATTTCTCTAAATGTGCAGTATTTTGATATTTTTGGGAGTTAAACTATCACTATTTGAGGAATAAAATCTAAATGAATGAAAGTGCTACAAATGAGAAATAGTATAGGAGGAAAAAAAACAAAGAGGAAAGAAATGTAACTTAATGAGGACACAGCTTTGGCTTTGCGGAATCTCTTACGTTCAATTTCAATAGTATCTATTAATTAAAGATTTAATAAAGAATAGTCAGGTATCAACAATAAAAAAGAAAAACAGCGATAACTAAGACAAATTTTATGCTAGCAATTATCATAAACTGCAAAGTTAAAGTCTGATATATGTCATTTAGTAGAGGTAAATCTAGTTTAGATCAAAATATACAAAATGGTGATAATCTAACATTCAAAATTTAAGAACTGGCAACAACACATTTCTAATACAAAAAACACAAAGTTATCCTATAGAGCATCAGAGATTTTAAAATCCAGGCATAGAGGAGCAGGAGACATAATTATCAAAAATGAATACTTCTGGGCCAGCCAGTGGCATGGTGATATAGGTGACTAGATCCTACATGGTCAACTTTGCAGTTCGAGTCACAGGCCCGGCAGTTCGAAAGACATTCTAGGAGAAAAATGGTGGTGCAGTGATAACAACACTTTACAATGCTGGACCTGCATGGACGGTTCTAGGTTCTCAGTGCAGGGCCTCCCTATGGACTCTGAAGTGTGTGCATGCTAACATCGTGTGGTGCGGGATAAACTGGTAAACTATGGCATATAGACTCTACTGGGGGTTTCTGGCCTTGGAAATAAAAATAAAAGAGTAGAATTAAAAGCAACCTTCCTTCCTTCCTCTCTCTCTCTCTCTCTTTCTTAAGTTTTGCCAGAGGGCACATGCACTTGCAAGAAGAAACAGAGAAAGGACCACAAATGGGGCATAATCAAACCACAATCTCCTTTCCTGCTTCCTGTCAGGATTTTGGGCACACATGCATATGTACCTGGCTTATTCAAGCCACTAAAGCTGGGATCCAAATCATATAGTTGACCATGTGGAATCCCCCTTAACCATTAGGCCACAGAGCTAGCCCCAAAATATTTCTTACATTAATAAAATTTCCTAACAGAAAGATTTATATGGAAAACGCAATATGATTTTTAAAAATTCCCTTATATATTCACATTCGCTAACTTTTCTTTCTTGTATGAATGTATGTATGTATTTTTGCCACAGGGTGCATGTGCTCACTGTAGAGAGACAGAGAGCAATTGAGAAGTCATGCCCCCTGCCAAGGGGATGGCCACACTGCAATCCCTTCTCCTCCATTCTCTTCCTGGGATCCTGGGTATGTATACACATGCGTCTGGTATGGTTTTCAAGCCACCAGGTCCAGGACATGAACCATGGTGAGCCATATGGGAATCCAGCACCTTAATCATCATGGCACCTGCTAGCCCCCACTAACGTTTTTAAGAATAAGATTGGAGGAACCATCAGATAGTGTAATGGCTACGTTGCTAGACTCCCATTTAGTCAACTGTGGTTCAAGTTCTGGACCTGGCAGCTTAAAACTCATGCTGGGTGCATGTGCATGCATGTGTACCCAAAACTCCAAGAGTGGAAGAGGGAGTATTACAACATGGACTTCCCCCACTGGGGATGATTTCTCACTTTCTGTCTCTCCAGCAAGCACATACACCTTATAGCAAAAATCTCTCTCCTAAAAAAAAAAAAAAAGAAGAGGAGGAGGAGACTGGAGATAACTGCACATGTAAAAAGTATTGGATTTATCATGCAAAACACTGACATACATATTAGAACACTTATATATGTATATTAGCACTTTAATCAGTACTCACCCCTAAAAAATGGCAATAAAAACAAAAAAAAGAAACCATTCTAAAACTGTGCCAATAAAGTACACAAATGGACAAGAATACTAATTAAGATACATTCTGGAGTGCTGTTTCCTAAGGTTATATATGTGAGACAAAAAAAAGGAAATAGAGGAATGTTATATACATATGGAGAAATAATACAAATGTAGAATAATAAAAGTGCATATAAGACCCAATGTAGGCAGTGTAATTGGTAACAAGCTGGACTACAGTGCTAGAGGCCACATAGCCAAATGCTGGTTGAGACCCCTTGTCTTGTTGACCTGAATCATACCAGTCATGCATGCATATGAACACCTCCAATCCTGAAGGACTTGAGGACTAGCAGAAAGGGACATGGCATAAGGAGACTCTATTAAGGATACTTCTCTCTTTCTCGTTCATGTGTGTGCATATATTTTCTATCATTAAATAAAAAATAAAGAAAACTTTTTTAAAAATGTGTAAGTGAAATTAGAATCCTCTAAAACAATGAGGCTTAAAGCCTAAAATAGTAAGACTGGGCCAGCCTGTGGCATGATGGTTAAAGTAGCTGGATCCCATATAGCCAACCACCTCTTGGAGTCCCAACAGCCTGAAAAACACACCAGGTACACATGCATATAAGTAAAAAATCCCAAAGGAAAAACAGAAGAGAAAGGATTGTGTCATGGTCATCCTCCCTGTGGGGTGTGGGAAGAGCATGCTATCTCTCTCCCTCTCTTTCTCTCTCTTTGTCAATTGTACATACCTTGTGGAAAAATTAAAAAAAGATGCCCTAAAATGACTCAATGTGTTTCTCTTTTTTTTATTTATTTAATTTGATTATTCTTTTTCTTTATTTTTTAGAGTGATTTTTGCTATAGGGCATATGTGTTTGCCAGAGAGACAAAGAGACAGAAAGCAAGAAATCACCCCTTAAGGGGGAAGGCCATACCACAATCCCTTCTCCTCCAGGCTCCACCTGGGATTTTGGGCATGCATGCACACATGCCCAGTATGAGTTTTTTAACTGCTGGGTATGGGACTCAAACCACAACTGACTACGTGGGAGTCCAGTGACATAACCATTATGTCATCTGCTGGTCTCAATATTGTTATTTTTAAATCCCCCAGAGAGAGAGAAGGAAAATGAAAAAGCAAGCTGCCAGGTCCGAGACTTGAATGCAGTTGATCATAGGAGAGTCTAGTGCCTTAACCACTACACCACCTGCTGGTCTCAGAATGTGTTTCTTTAATGGCAGTATTCTATGAATGCTATGTAGGAAGTTTAAGAAGTCTGAGAATAGGCTTTTTTGGAGGACCTAAGAACCTCTACAACTATACTTAAATTTAAAAGTTTATAGCTTTTGTCAGATTTTTAAACAGGTTTATGACCCAAAGTTTATTGAGAATCACAGCTTTAAAAACCCTTTTAATGACTGTTACTTAAGTTTATAATTACTGTTTAGAGATGACAAACAGTCATCTTGGAAAATTATGGAAAGCTATGGACTCTCTTCCAGAGAAATATACATAAAAATCTTGGGGCCAGCAGTTGGCATAATGGCTATGTCGCTGGACTCCCACATAGTCGACCGCAGTTCGAGTCCCAGACCCGGTGGCTTAAACTCACGCCGGGCGCATGTGCATGCGTGCCCAAGATCTCAAGAGGAGAATGGAGAAGAAGGGACTGTGGCGTGGCCATACCCCCTGGGGAGTGATTTCTCACTTTCACTTTCTGTCTCTCTGTAGCAAAAACCTCTCTAAAAAAAAAAAAAAAAGAAAGAAATATACATAAAAATCTTTACCTACAATTTTTTTTTTTTGAGAGGTTTTTGCTATAAGGCACGTGTGCTCGCCAGACAGAGACAGAGAGACAGAGACAGAAAGCAAGAAATCACCCCCCAGGGGGGATGGTCACGCTGCAATCCCTTCTCCTCCATTCTCCTCTCGGGATCTTGGGCATGCACACACATGCGCCCGGCGTGAGTTTTAAGCCACCGGGTCCGGGACGTGAACCGCGGTCAACTACGTGGGAGTCCAGCGACATAGCCATTAAGCTAACTGCTGGTTCCCACCTTTACCTACAATTTTGAGTGAGTCTACAAATCTCTAAATCCCAATCATGGATCAGAAAATATACTAGAATTTACTTCTTTAGGTTGTTTTCAATCATTAAACAATCTGATCCTCCTCACTCAGAGAATTAAAATAAAATACTAGATATTATGTAGACTTTCATTCTTAATAGGGAAAGGTTTTGGTACCACTTTATACTACTGAACATTTGGATAATCATAATGCTAATATCATATAGTATCTATTACCCTATACACTTGGTCATGTGGGAAATAAGAGTTTATAGGAGTTCTTTCAGGGAGGTTAGAAGATACAAGTATTAAATCATGTGGAAAAAAAAGTATTTACTGAAAACAAAACAGTCTCTATGGCACAGTCAGTAGTGTACTAAACTGCATAGCTGGAAGATCCTGTAGGTTTAGATGCCTAGTTGACCCAAAAACACACTGGGTATGCCCAAGATCCCTGACAAGCTAGAGGACTGTGGGAAGGAGACTACAGTGTCACAACTCTATTAAGAGTGCCCTCTCCCATTGTCTCTCACACATATACATGCTATCTCATCAATTAAAAAATAATAATTAAAATAATAATGTAAGCCCAGCTACAATGTCATACACTAGTAAGACACTTAGGTCTGTAGGCTGGGACCATATCTGAATTCAATTCCTGAACCAACTTAAAGGCTGGGTGCAGTGGCCTATACCTGTAAAAAACAACTCAGGGAGGCTGAAGCAGGGGTTCAAAACTTGAGGCTGGCCTAGGCAACATAGCAAAACCCTGTCTGAAAAGAAGCTGAGCATGATGGTGCATCCTCCCTCAGCTGTGAAGCTGAGACGGATGTATAAGAGAAAAGTCAGTCTTGAAAAAAAATGTAGCCATGGGGCCAGCAGATAGTGTAGTGGTTAAAGCATTGGACTCCCACATGGCCAACTGAGGTTTGGGC